GCAGCGATGCTGCAGAGCCAGGACCTGCCCCGACCCCACCGCCCGCCCGGCTCCGGCTGCGCGCGTTCCCGCAGCTTCCCTTGGTTTATCGCTTCCCGCGGGGAGGCCGCAGCGGAGCCGTGCCCGGCGGCGGTACCTGTAGAAGTAGTGCCAGCAGAAGAGGCAGCAGAGGAGGCGGCAGCCGAGCGGCTCGAGGCGGGGCGGGCTGCGCAGCGCCAGCAGCAGCGCGGGCACCAGGAAGGAGGGAAGCTCCTGCAGGAACCAGGCGCAGCGCGCGGGCAGCCGGCCCCGCGGCCGGCACAGCCGCTCCTCGTGCTTCCCGTAGCGGGACGGCACCCGCAGGTACAGCGAGAGCTGCAGCAGCGCCAGGGCGCCCAGCAGCGAGCTCAGGGCCAGCACCAGCCCGGGGATGCACTGCATGCTCGGGGGCGGGCGGGGGCAAACAGCCCTCGGCCAGCGCCAGCCCCGGCCTTATTAGAGCCGCGGCCGTCACCCCGCCCCGCCGCGCTGCCTCCCATCGCCCGGGCTCGTCAGAGGGTGCAGCCCCTCGGGCCGGCGCGGCGAGGCGCCCCGGCCCGCCGGGAGGGGAGCTGCCCCCACCTCCATCCCTCCATCCCTCCATCCCTCCATCCCTCCATCCCTCCATCCCTTCATCCCTCCATCCCTCCATCCCTCCATCCCTCCATCCATCCATCCCTCTATCTCTATATCACTCTATACCTCCATCCATCCGTCCCACCCGTCCGGCCCGGAGGGGAGTTGCCCTCAACCCACCAAAATACATCCCACCCGTCCCGCCCGGAGCGGAGCTGCCCCGCTCCATCCATCCCACCCGTTTCGCCCAGAGGGTAGATGCTCCCCTCCATTCATCCCACCCGTCTCTCCCGGAGATAAGCTGTTCCTCTCCATCACTTTTCCCTTATCGCCCGGAGGAGAGCTGTCCTCTGTCCCCCCTCTCTTCCTCCCTCCCGTCCCGCGTCCCGGCGGGGCCCTCGCCGGCCCCTCCCTTCGCCGGCCCGGTTCGGCCCGGGGATGGCGGCGGTGGAGGGAGGAAGGAGGGTCGGGGGCGACACGGTCGGCACCGGGCAGGGGCGAGCCGGCACTGGGGCGGAGGTGTGCTGGGGTGACTCCCCCGGGCGGCAATCGCTCCCAGCGAGGTGGGAGAGAGTGGTGGAGTTCCCTTCTCGCTGCCCCGGTGTGTCACCCTGCCCCGCGACTTGCCTGGCGATCTGTGCTGCAAGAGCTGAGCAGCCGCCTGGTACCAGGGAGTGCCGCTCCACTGAGGGCACGTAGAGAGTAAAGGAGACCTGCCAAAGGTCAGGTGAAAATAAACAAATGTAGATATGCCCGCGGTAGAACGAGGGAAAGCCAGTGAGTGCAAAACTTGCAAGTCTGACAAGTCCAGCTCATGTTTAGTATAACCACAGCGTGCTTAAACTTTTTAAGTGCCCCAAGTTTTAGGGAATGTGGTCCTAATGTAAGTGCCAGCTCTGCGGTGTGCTCAGAAACCCTTTGGTCTCAACTGCATGAAGTAGTTTAGACAACAGTTTACCTAAAACTACAGTCCAGGAATTAGGCTTTTCCTTGCCTGTTTCCCCAGGGATCTTTATTTGGTAAGGATGATCAGGGTGCTGAATTACTGCATAAGGACTAACAGAACATTAAAGTTTGTATTGTTACTGGCCTCAGCACATCACCCCAAGGCCAGAAATTGCAGTTTCATCCATGTCATTTTGCAGCTCCATTGAGAAAGCAGTTGGATGCAGCTCCACACAGGATTAGACATCACACAAAATGCTCTTCTGGAGCATAGGTGGTAATTGATTTTAATCCAAAGTCTGAGTGGTGAATGCACTGATTTAGGATGTGGGAGACTCGGGTTCAATTGTCTCCTCTGTTTACAGGGATTCTCTTCCTGCAGAGGGAGACCAAACCATCGGCTGTAGTTTATCCTGAAGTCCAGGAGGCACTTGTTCTGTTGTGTTGGCTATTCCATGGGGCAGCTACTTAGAGGAGCAGAGTTCTCCCTTATCCTTGCAGAGTGCTGTAGTCACTGAGATCACGTTTGTTGCAGTAAGTAAAACAGGTCAAGGTTTTTTTGGCCTCAGAGATGTGTGACATACTATGGCTGTCAGCCACATGCCAGAGCACTCTTCTCTCACAGAAGATGTATGTGGGCTTTCAAGCTGCTTGCTGGATGCAGTCTCTGGTACATGCCGTCTCCCAGCTGTGAAGGAGAGAGGGCTGGACCAGAGCTGTGCCAGGTATGCCAGCCATAAAGTATAGAGATGATCACAAGCTAGTGACATTGGCACCGATGTTCAAGCAGTAGTTCCTGGCTGTGCACCATCAGTGGAGAAGGTGCCCGTAGGGCAGATTTTAGAAATCTGCATCTGTATCTGAATTAGGAGGAAGTGCAGTCTAAAAAAAATGTCTCTGTAGCAAAACAGCTGAATATGAGAACCTGTCAACCATAATATGCATGTTTCATAAGGATTACTTCTAACTCTCTCTAGTCTGATCTTATGAGCTGAAGACATCAGCAATAGGGGCATTTTTGGAGTGCTCTTCTGGCATAGTTTCATCTGAAGAAGAACCAGTGACGAACTCAGACTGTTTCACAAAGCATATCAAAGCTCAGTAGTTAGTTGGGAATGACTTCAAAAGAATGGTTTGGATTCAAACTAAAACCCTGACGGAGTCACAGCATAAGAACCAGAGAGGGGTGTGATCTCAAACACAGCACTGGTAGCTTGAGGCAGTCCCCTGCTCGTCATCCTGGTTGGTTGGATTCAAGCTGAAGGGGTCTAGCTCTACGTATTTACAGGAGAAGACAAATGGGGTGGAAATGCTTCTAATGGTAAAAAAATGAGCTGGTCACAAGGAAACCATTTCCAGTCCATAGAATAAAGGAGGCACTTTTAAGGAGAAATTGATCTCATACAAGGAGGTAATAAAACAGATCAATGAATCATAATGTAGAAAAGATTAATTCTCTCCACTGGCTCTAAAAGATGTCTAGGAATGCATCAGAAGAACTGAATCCCACTCTTGCTCCGTAAATTAGAGTTCTGAAGAAATTTCTGTGGACAGGCACTCCTCTAAGCTAAGAACTCCAGCATTTATGTTCGCTGTTAGAAACAAACACTGCATAATTATTCATCATATTCAACCACTGCACAGATCTTCGCCCAAGAATTCCTTCTTCCTGCCTAAGCACCACATCAGGGATTGCGATAAGAAAGGTGAAAGCTGTGCTGCAGAAGCATTCTTTGTATTCATCACTGGGTTTTGAGAAGGTGGCAAGGTGCAGCACTGAAAGTGTGGTTTGTATGGGATCACCAAAACTTTTTTTTTAAACCAACCTTTATTTTTTTCCATGGGAGTGTTTCACCAGCCCAAAGGACCACTAGGTAGTAATGAATCTCGCCTTGAGATTATCTCAGGCTAGCAGTGATCAAGCTACAGGACAGAGACCATTTAATTCAGATTTTTCTGAATTTTTCTGAATTTTCAGGCTTTTTATGTCTCAACAGTGAATAATCCAGTGGGAGTATTTGTTGAAAAAAATATTTCAACAATAAAGCTTTTGCAGGCCTGCTGAATTTGAAGGGAGTGGAGAAAAAATGTACAGGCTAAGTCCTGTTTGCGTATCTGATAAGACTTCAGAACTCTTGGTTTATTTTATTTTGAAGAGAAAAATCCAACTCTTCTGAAGAATTGAATTGTACAAAATATGACAGGTACAAAATTACATATATCATAAGTATAAATTTATAAACAGGAATCATCTGGAGGAAAACGTGGGTCATTTATAAACCTAGATGTCTAGGAAGACTTCTCAGAAGAAAATTATAGACAGAAATAAGGCTGGTTTTGTACTACTGTGGGTCTCTTTCCCTGAGTTCAGGAAGCAGCCAAGAATCAGTAGGACCCACTGCAGAATCCCAGAATGGCTGGAGTATAGCATTCCCCAAGCTCAGCCTGTGGCCTTTGGATATGCCTGTGCCTCTTCAGATCCCATGGTGTGTGTCTCTGCCCTGGCAGTTCCGGGTAAGAACAGGATAGTTCTGTCTGATTGCCTTCCTGCGGCCCAGAGAAACTTCTCATCTGAGAGGAGTCCTGTAAACCAGGATCACAGCACAGTGGAAGTAAGAATGAGTCTGTCACTTTTACCAAAAGGTCCTGGAGCTTGAGTGTAGAGAGTTCAATTTAGTGTTCCGCTCCGAGAGTGAGCAGCTACATGGCGCTTAGTTGCTGGCTGGGGTTAAACCACAACACAGTTGGACATGTATAATCTTTAGGAAGGGCTTAGGATTAAGTTTTGAATGAGAACACCCAAGAAAATGAACAGTTGCATAAGGTAGTTCCTTAGATCTCCCAGAAGTTCTATTTGCACTGCTGCAATTTTGAACACTTCTCTTTTCAGTGCTGACAGGAATGTAGCTAGACTGAACTTAGGAAACATCGGGAACCAGCAATTTACTGTTTGTTTTGCATTATATGTATCCTGTGCTGAATAAGGAACTGTCTATTTTCTCGTGGTTCATTGTACTAGTCTCATAAAATTTTTAATTCTGCAAAAGCACAGAGTTAATAATCCAATATAATAATAATCCAATATTGCCTTCTCAGTCAGAAGTAGACTTTTACTACTTATCAGAAATTGTCATCCACTGACATTAGAAGTTGCGTGACTGTCACTTTGCATCACATGTTAGATCCAGCAGGTGAAATTTAAAATAATTTTTAAGAAGAGAAAATTATTTTCATTTTCCTTCAGTCGAAGATGTTGATGTATAGGAAGAGCAGGAACAGAACAACATATGGTTAATAAAACTATCTTTGTAAGGGTCTCTGTGTTATATAAGCAAATGTAGAAAAGCAATTAAAACGGCAGAAGTGGGCATTAACTTGGCTTGTGAAATTTAATAAGCTGCTCCTGTTTGTACTCCTAACACTGACAGAAGTGTGAGAATAGGTTTTGAGGAAGACAGGGCAGATTACTTCAGGATGTGTGAAGTAGGAGGAATAATTCACTTACAGGATTAACTTTAACCTAGTGCACATGGGTTAGCAACAAGTTATTTTTAATAGTGTGTTCACATCATTACCGGTATGAATATAAAAATATAAAACCTATAACAAAAAAAGCCCACAAGCAATAGGTAGAGGCTGAATATTTTAAAGCTGATTTTCCTTTTACTTCAGATTTTTCTTGAATAGTATCTATATAAATCAGCCACAAGAGCAGTTTTTTTCCTTTAATTAGTCTTCTTTTATCTGGTGACACTCTTGCTGTGTTGTCTGATTTTCACATTCTGATTTGTGAGAACACAGTTCTTTCAGCAGAGAAGGACAGTACCTTTACACCCACATTGTCCCACTTATTAATCCTAGCCACTCAGTATTAAAAGAAGATGAGGAAACACACTGAGGTTAACTGTCTGAGCTCATTGAAGCTGAGCCAGAGAATCACAAAATGAAAAGCAGGGGGAGCTTGAGGAGCACAAGAGAA